AAAAAAAAAAAAAAGTAAAGAAATAAAAATAAATCAGAGAGGTAAATATGCAGGTGATGATTCTTTGGGAGCGATCAAGCTGGAAACCAGGCCAATCTATTTCACAGAGGGGTACACTAAGCATCCATGATGGGAAGTGGGTTTAAGCGTCCCCCTGCCAAGGTCTCGAGGAAACTGGCCCTAGGTTCAGCTTCCTCACCCTTGCTTTGCTGAGCTGGGTGGGCTTGGGAAACGCATTTCCCCTCAAGGAGGCTCAGTTTGCCCGTCTGTGAAATCCCTGGGCTACTAGAGGTTTTGGCTTGTCCCTGTGATCTGGGGAGAGGTGGATCATCAGTGCCTGTAAAACAGGACATGGTAGTTTAAAAAAAAGAAATTGGGTTTTGCAGTCAGAATCTTCCCTGGTGAATCTCTGTCACCAGCTGGAGTGCAGAGGTGTGATCACAGCTCACCACAGCCTCAAACTCCCAGGCTCAAGGGATCTTCCTGCCTCAGCCTCCCGTGTAGCTGAAACTACAGGCATGTTCCACTGCACCCAGCTAAATTTTTTTTTTTTTTGAGATGGAATTTCGCCCTTGTTGCCCAGACTGGAGTGCAATGGTGCGATCTCAGCTCACCGCAACCTCCACCTCCTGGGTTCAGGCGATTATCTTGCCTCAGTCTCCCAAGTAGCTCGGATTACAGGAATGCGCCACCATGCCTAGATAATTTTTTTGTGTATTTTTAGTAAAGACAGGGTTTATCCATGTTGGTCAGGCTGGTCTTGAGCTCCTGACCTCAGGTGATCACCCACCTGGGCTTCTCAAAGTGCTGGAATTACAGGTGTGAGCCTTCATGCCCGGCTTTAATTTTTAAATTTTTTGTAGAGATGGGATCTCACTCTGTTGCACAGGCTAAGGAGCTGTTATTTTCCTGTCTGTGAAACGTGCTGTGAGCACATCTTGCTCCAGGGGTTGCTATAAGGAAGGTCTGGGAAGGGGTAGAGGGACCCTGTTATGTCTGATGCCCCTGTGTTCCCTCAGGGGGGCAAGGAGTACTTGATGCGAGCCCACTTTGGCCTCCCCAGCGTGGAGAAGGAGGAGGTGGAGGGCCGGCCCCCTATCGGGGTCAAGTTTGAGATCCCCTACTTCACCGTCTCTGGGATCCAGGTGAGAGAAACCGGTGGGGAGGGTCCTCCCCTTGACTTTGGTGTGTTCCTTTCTCTCCTGTCCCTTGGCCCAAGTCGCCTCAGTCCCTCGGCCTATGTCCACTCCTCTGATGGCTTCCTGGCCTTTCCCGAGAGCAATGTTACCTCTACCTGCTTGCAGTCTGGGCCTCCACTCCCCCAGCCTGTGCCACCGCGTTCCCCACTGGCTTGTTCATTTCTCTCCCTTCTCCACCTCCAAGCCATTCACCATTCCCTTGCCTGTGCCACCTCGTCCCCCAAGACCATGTCATGTTCCCTCAGTGATCCCAGCCTGTGCCACATAGTCCCTTGGCCTAAGCCATCTCTTTCTCCCTGGCCCTGGCCAACTCCCTCCCGCAATCCTGGAGCACCTCTTTTCATTCCCTTCCAGGTCCGATACATGAAGATCATTGAGAAAAGTGGTTACCAGGCCCTGCCCTGGGTTCGTTACATCACCCAGAGTGGCGGTAAGGCAGCCGGCTTGCGGAGACAGTGGGGTGAGGGAAGGGCAGTGGGTAGGAACTCAGGGCTTTCACCACATTCTGGTTCAGAAAACTCAAGAAGGCAGCCAGGCGAGGTGGCTCACACCTGTAATCCCAGCAGTTAGGGAGTCCGAGGCAGATGGATCACCTGAGATCAGGAGTTCAAGACCAGCCTGGCCATGATGGCGAAACCCCGTCTCTACTAAAAAATACAAAAAATTATCTGGGCATGGTGGCACATGCCTGTAATCCCAGCTACTTGGGTGGCTGAGACAGGAGAATTGCTTGAATCTGGGAGGGAGAGGTTGCATTGAGCTGAGATTGTGCCACTGCACTCCAGGCTGGGCAACAAAGCGAGACTCTGTCTCAAAAAGAAAGAA